TAACTTTTTATTGAGGTATTATGAGCAGTACAATGAGCGCTTGCTGATGTTGATTTTGTAGTTAGAGACTTGGTGGTATAGATCAATTTGTTGCGTGAGGTGGGTCAGTGATGTCACTGGATTTGAGATTGTGAACAGAAGGTCATCAGCAAACGCTGTGACCTTGAATTCATTTTGTGCCACTGTGAGGCCCATTATATCCGGGCAGTCCCTAATTCCCTGTAGGAATGGTTCCATTGTGAGAATAAATAACAGGGGGAGAGGGGGCACCCTTGCCTCGTACCATTGGTTATTTGAAACACGTCCGAAAGTAGGCCATTCACCCGTATTTGTGCTCCTGGTTTGGAGTATATGGCTGTGAGATGGTGGGTTTGTTTTCCTCAAAGTAGTGCTGTAGTGTGTCAGTGAGTGTTTTATTGATGGTTGGGTCATTTAGTAGGGTGTCATTCATTTTCCAGTGGGTACGGTTGGGTGTCAAAGAGGGGACCTGAATAACCAGTGACAATGGGGCATGGTCCGACCAGGTGATTGGGCCGTAGTTGCAGGATTGGATTAGGTGTTGGTGTCTGTGATGGAGGAAGAGCATATCTAGTCTGGAATAGGTATGTTTTACCGTGGAGTAGTAGGAGTAATCCTTGGTGTGAGGGTGGGTGATCCTCCAGCTGTCGAACAGGTAGGCTTTATCCAGTAATTGGGTCATCTTGAGTCTAGTGGGGGAGTTGTAGGACGTGGACATGGATGTGGTGTCTAGGTTCGAGTCTAGGTACATGTTTATGAGGATGAGGATACCTTCCATGTGACTTTCAATTTTGGTAATGTATTTCTTCAGGTGCGTGCCTTGTTTGGTATTAGGTAAATACATGTTAGCAAACGTCACCAATGTGTTGCCTATCTTGCCCTTCACTATGAGGAGCCTGCCATTGGAGTCTGCATAGTGACTTATGTGGGTGTAGGGTACGTGTGAACCTATGAGGATGGCTACTCCTCTAGTCTTGGCCTCTTTGTAGCACCCATAGTATCCTGGGGGGTAGTGGCGATTGCGAATTGTGAGGGTTGAGCCCGTTTTGAAGTGGGTTTCTTGAAGGAAAGCTACATCTGCTTTTAGGTTGCGTAGCTCCCGGAGGGTCAGCGCTCTTCTCATGGGGGAATTGAGGCCCCTGACATTGAGAGTGATTACTGTGAGATTGGCCATGTTGCCTGCGGGGGTGGGTGTCATGTTGTGGTGATGTTGAGTGAGTATGTAGCGATCAGAACGAAATATAAACAGAATTAACAATAGAACAGTCAAATAAACTATATACAGTTCAGCTCTTACATTTGTAGAGCTGGAAGTTGGGATGTTATTGAATGTGGAGTCAGTCTGCCTTGTTTGACGGTGGCTTTCCCTTTGGTGGCAATTAAGTCCAGGGGAAGTTGAGCCGGCACCGCTCAGGCTCTAGGCGACTGTCCACTTGTTTTTAGAGTGATAGAATCAGTTCGGTGTGGGGGGCTTTGGTGATGTAACGATGCGTCTTTCCATAGGGAGAGACGGGCAATCCGTGTTATGCTAAATGATTTGGATTGGTAAATCAGGCTTGGGGGGGTGAATAGTTTATGGGACCATTTGGTGGTCACCGGTCACGATGGGTATGGGTGGTGGGGGCTCAGTGGTCTTGGTCGGATTTGCTCGTTAGTGCCGGTCCAGTATCTGGGCCGTGGTTAGTGCGTGTATACAATCTTCCAACTCTGCAAGGACCTAAGACATCTAGTACAGTATTGTAGCTAGGATATTGGCATGGTAGGCATTTGGAACACATCCACAAAACAATCATAGCTCCTTAGTTTGTGACACAATTCGGTTCAACTATACCTAGAAGCATACTAGGAGCACGCCATGCGGGTTTTTAGGAGAAGTACCGTGGGAAGGGGAGGAGAAGGGTGAGGGGAAGGGGGGTAAAGCAGAGGTGAGGGGGGGGGGTGTATGAGGGTAGACCGAGTAGGGGGAGGGAGGGGGGAGAGGCTTGAGGAGGCAAAATGTGCTCACACAATGTAAACCAGTTTAAGAGTAAGCATGATACCAGTCAGTGGGTCTTCCGCTGGACTTCCCATAGGAATATCATTGCCGTTCAGTAACCAGAGTGCTCAAGGTTTGCAGGGTTGGGTGCAGTCGTCTGTACAGTTCCGAAGTGGTTAGAATTTAGTCCTGGATTCGTATTAGAGGCAATGCGATACCTACTCCTTTGGGGCCAAGCAGAGTGAGGCTTGATGGGATCCTTGGTTCTGGTAGAGATTGGGAGGTCTGACTCGTCTGCCGTAAACGTTGGGGATATTAGAGTGTTCTTTTCCAAGGAGGGTGTGTGTGTGTGTGGATCTTGGCCTCCAGGGTAGGTTGAGTCACTAGAGCGACTCTTGTTGGTGGGAGTCCAGGGGAATACGTGGGTCTTGTTCACGCATTAATCCAAACTGGGCCAGAATGAGTCCAGCAATGAGGTTGGTTCGTTGAATAGAGTCTCTACTGTCCGTATTTGCGGCTTAGGCCATAGAATCGTGGTAAGGGTGGGTGGCGACCGGTGGTGTTGGTAGGGAGATTTCTTCACTGGGTGGGGGGTCCTGCTCTCGGTCTGTGTCCCCCTTGATGTGTGGTTTGGTCATTGTAGCGTCTCTTCGACAGGGTCTGTCCTCTCAGTCTTGGGGCATTGTGCTGTGGAGATGGGTGTATTGGTCCATACCAGTCTGGGATGCAGACTTCTGGAAGGTCAAGGGCTGAAGTGAAGGTTTGTATATCCTCGGCCCATGAGAGTGTGGCAGTGACCCCGTTGTGTGTTGCTCTGATGGCGAGGGGGAATCCCCATCTGTAGCGTATATTCCTGGATCTTAAGAGGTCAATGAGTGGTTTCATTACCCGCCTCGCCTGGAGAGTCATCCAGGATAGGTCTGGGTAGATCTGCACTGGTCTTCCATGGTGCAGTAGTGGTAGGGATGTCTGGCGGAGGCTCCTAAGGATGTCCTCTTTAATGCTGTAGTAGTGCAGCCTGCAGATTACATCTCTAGGGGAGTCCCCTCCAGGGTTCCTGGTTTTGAGTGCTCTGTGCGCTCTATCTATCAGAATGGGCATTGTTACGTCTCGTTGGAGGATTAGGTTAAAAAGTTCTTGCAAAGTTGAGTGTAGGTTTTCCCCCTCAGCCTCAGGTAGGCCTTTAATCCTTTCCGGCGCCCCCTATTGTCCCAGTCGTCAAGTGCCCTGTACATAGCTGCCATTTGTGTGTTATGAGCTGCTACAGTGCTTTGCAGGGCTTGTAGTTGTGTGCATGTGCAGTCATGATCATTTTCTAGGGAGTTAACCCTTTCACTGACCTGTCTGACTTCTGTGGAGATGTCATCCATTTTCTTTTGAAAGGTCACTTCGAGTTTCTGCAGCATAGCAGCAGATCCTGCTTGGAAGGGAGATTTCTGAGTATTTCTTTCAGATCCTTGTCTCTATCAGTGTCAGATGTGAGTGATATGCTGTCTGATGCCGCCGGGCTGGAGGGTGCTGAGGATTGCTCTGCCAGATCGTCCGGCGCCATATTGGACCCTGTGGCCTCATTTCGCCGGTCGCCCTGTTTTTTAAAATATTTAGTCAGGTTGCTCGTTTTAGTCGTGTTGGGGGGCCGTCAAGAGGCGTTTGGGGTGTCCCATGATGTAGTAGGTGCCTGATAGATGCGGATTGCCCTGTGTCTCTATCGGAGCTCAGTTAGCAAGCGTCCATTCGCGCTCGCGGCTAGCTCCACCCTGAGTTATGTATTTTTATGTGATTTTTGTTATATATTCAACTCCAGAATATTTCCTGTACCTGGAGATAATTAAGTTACTGTAATCACTTAAGCTAATTATCACCAGGATAGAGTGGAGGGTTTCAGAAAGAGGCACTTTATGCTGATTGGTTTATGTCCCTTGTCACGCTGTGTACCATCAGGTCTAGAGGGGTGTGCCCCTGGCCTGAAAATATGTGTATATAAGCAATGCCTTTCTGTTCAATAAACCAGACTTCTTACCCTCAACTCGCAGCCTCAACTCGTGTTGTAGGGAAATGCTGATCACTTGCTCTGCTCAGAGCTCCAAGAATACTTTATACTTGCAGGAAGATCGTTAGGTGCTAAATTGGAACTTCTTACCGCTCTCCAGGATCGGGGACAAGGACATCCAAGCGATCCAACTCTCAGCTAGCCTGAGGCAGCCGTAACAATACCTAAACAGACAGACACACACACACACTTACTGACAGACCCACACTCTCTGCACACACACACTCACAAATTGACATGTTTATTTTCATTTATGTCCACCCAGCCTCCGTAACTTTGGAAGAGCTGGAGTGTATCTTTTCCTGGGATTCAGTGGGGCTTCTCTCTCAACTTCCTGCTGCTCCTCTCAGCTCCCCTGTGCGCTCTCTGTATTGGTGCCGGAGTAACATCATATTCCGGCTCCAGGCATCACTGAACAGCGCAAAGGGAGAAGAGAGGAGCTGCAGAAAGATTACTGCTGCCACAGTCGTCCGGCTCTATGCTCCCCACGTTTCTTTGCTCCATTGTTAAAAGGGCTGACAAATCCTAGGGATTTGTTGAGCCGTGCCCTACTGGTGGGGTAGACTAATGTTTTCCATAAAAAAATAATGGGGCATAAGAATAGCCTGGAATATACCAGTTTCTTTTTGGTGTGGGTAAGGCTACCTGTTGATCTGAAGCAAAGGCAAGAACTTCTGTGGTGAGTCTCTTACTTTTTCTTTTTTTTTCTTTTTCATTAAAAGTAAAAAATAACCTCTATAATAGATTCTAAAAGAAGGGATTAAGCACTGAACCTGTAGCATTCTAAAGCCCCATAATCAGAACATTTCTACAATAGTAAATTCTGCACCATTTGTATCTCATTGTTAAAGGATAGAGATGTCGCGAACCGTCCGCGAACTTCTCGCGAACGGTTCGCCGCGGTTCGCCACGAGCTGTTCGTGGCGAACTCCAGTCAGCTGACACGTCCCGGCCAATCTCCAGCAGACCCTCCCTCCCAGACCCTCCTACTTCCTGGACAGCATCCATGTTTCAACAAGGAAGGAAGTAGGAGGGTCTGGGAGGGAGGGTCTGCTGGAGATTGGCCGGGACGTGTCAGCTGACCGGAGTTCTCCGCGAACAGCTCGTGGCGAACCGTTCGCGAGAAGTTCGCGGACGGTTCGTGACATCTCTATTAAAGGACCACTCTAGGCACCCAGACCACTTCAGCTTAATGAAGTGGTCTGGGTGCCAGGTCCAGCTAGGTTTAACCCATTTTTTCATAAACATAGCAGTTTCAGAGAAACTGCTATGTTTATGAATGGGTTAAGCCTTCCCCTATTTCCTCTAGTGGCTGTCTCATTGACAGCTACTAGAGGCGCTTGCGTGCTTCTCACTGTGATTTTCACAGTGAGAGCACGCCAGCGTCCATAGGAAAGCATTTTGAATGCTTTTCTATGTGACTGGCTGAATGCGCGCGCATTCAGCCCAGGAGGAGGAACGGAGGAGGAGAGCGCTCTGCCCAGCGCTGGAAAAAGGTACGTTTTTTTACCCCTTTCCCCCTTCCAGAGCCGGGCGGGAGGGGGTCCCTGAGGGTGGGGGCACTCTCAGGGCACTATAGTGCCAGGAAAAAGAGTATGTTTTCCTGGCACTATAGTGGCCCTTTAAAGTTTCCAAGTGACACATGTAGCCTGATATTTTGCCTTATCATTGAAAGTTATGCTTTAGAAACTCTGTGGGGCCTGGCTAAGCAACTTTAAAATAACCCAGAATCTTTTGCGCTTGTTTTTATCAGATGAATGATGGACCACTGTGTAAGTGCAGTGTGAAAGCCAGGAGGACGGGAATCAGACACAGCATGTACCCAGGAGAGGAGGTAAAAAATAAATGTTATGTATATGTTATTGTTTTTCAAATTTACTTTTTCACTATGTATGCTTGTGTGTTAATGTAAAACAGGGCTGATCTCTTAGAAGCCTCCCAACCAACACCCCGGGCCCATTGGAACTCAAGTCTATATTGTTTATTTTTAATAAATCTCATGGTGTTTGAAGGAAATTACATATTATTTCATTAAATACATATGCTTGAAAAAATACTATAACTTTCAACACATACATTTTGTTTTTTAATCCTACTGGTACCTATAAAAAAAAAAAAAAATGTTTGTAATGTTTATTTTGCTTACTAATGCATTTCAGAGAAATACATCTTCATAACATGTAAGGTCAAAGGCTACATTTTCTTTTGCGGCATGTGAGAGTTTTGATATGTTTTATTTACGTGGAAACAATTCTGTGCAGAGGTGGAATAAAACACCGTATTCTGTCAATAGAATTCTACAGGTTTTTTTTTTTTTTGCGCTTGACTCTTTACAAACAAGTGCATGTCAGCAGTACATAGGTGTTTAGCCAGAGGATGTCTTGTTGTTCTGTATAATAACTACAAAGAAAAATGGTGATGAACACGAAAATCCTGAAAGCTAATTTTAATCGCTTGAGCATGGAGAGAGAATTTCTCATGGCCAAGAAGCTGAATAAGTGATTTTTTGCAGTTAATGCACCTTTTGTACTCTGGCAAGAGCATTAAACGAATGGTTTTACATGCTCATCTAGCTGTGAGAGAGATTGACAACTTGTTGAAGATTTAACCATGGCAACAATCTGCAAAGTATGTTTCTCTTCAATTAATACTCCTCAGACGGTTTCCCACACTTAGCTGTTTCTAATAGAACCCTAACAGCCAGGCTATTTGTATACCACTGTTTATTCATATATATATATAATCTCTGCAGATGATAACTGCATTAAGTATCCAGCAGATAGCTCTGTAAATTATAACCTGTATTAATGATGTAGAGTGTTAAACTGCTTTTTATTTTATACAATAAAGTTGTTGTTGTTCTTTAGTCTGCAAGTAGTCTAACAAAGTCTGTCCGGAAAGTATCCAACCATGTAATCTGAAAAATAGACATTTATTGAAGAAGATACAAGAAACATTGTATATAGGACAATGACCCCAGTCCCCTTCAAAATAGGCACCTTTGGACCTCACACAATTCCCCCAGAATCTCTTCCACTGCTGAAAACACTCTGCAAGATCCTTTGGTGAAATCATTATCAGCCGCCGTTTACCTGAATCTCATCGATGTTCGCAGATTCTCGACCATCTTTGAAGCGTTTGTGTCACATTTGTACTTGCGCTGCACTCATTGCATCGTCCCCAAAAGCCTTCTGAATCATCCTACTGCTTTCCGTGGAGGAATGTTCGAGCTTAGCACAATATCTGATGCAGATTCATTGCTCTACTCGCTCCGTCATTTTGAATGCGATGGCCACACAATACATATGATTACTCAACAGTGTCTAGCGACCCCACTGACTTGTACAGTGAAGTTGTCATTGTTCGCGCATTCCAGTCCACTCTCTTTGGCTGCCGGTTTACATTGATGTTGATTTTATATTAACAATGACTGGACTTTTTTCGGACAGACTGTGTGTGTGTCTGTGTGTGTGTGTGCACAGTTAACATAAGCAATACTTTTCTCAGCATCTCCATTATTACTTAGTTTCTATACACTGACCATAGCATATTCACAACGCTTTACAAATTTTTCTTCTCATTACATCATGTAGCAGCAGCTGCGCTTGCCAGAGCTTCTATAACTGTAGTATTGAGTAAAACCGCTAGAAAGAATATTTCACATTTTATACAAATTTTCTTTTGTTGTGTATCTATCTGCAAGCTGTTTTGAATTTGTAATCTTGTCAGTGTGGTGGTGGTTTTAATTTAATTACACTAATGTTGTTAACTGGTGATAATGTACAAACGGGTCTGTGCCATTAGCAAACCATGCTAATTGCAAGTGTTTATTTTACAACATATTCAGCTCAGCAACTTGTTAAAGACCATTGACCACAAAATTCTTACTATTTAATCCCTGAATACCCTCTGCCAGTGTGGAATGACCTACTTATTTTCATTTAGTAGCTTCAGAGACTCACTGGTATAATTAATGAGATGGATATTCCATGTTGGAGAAAGGGTGTCAAAGCATACAAAAATGTATTGTCTACTTTGACTATCATTAGTCCTTTAAGTAACCAGGCCTGCGAACTGTTTTGAATTTATTTTTTTTTGCCTAGCATAAATGTGAAAAGAGTGATATCACACATTATTGTAATCAATAAAAGTGTTTTTTTTTTTTTTTTTCAGGAATTTTAAATTGAATATAACATTAGATCTGGAATAGGCAAACTGAAAACATAGCTGACTGAAATGTGTTAAATTTTGCTACTTTAAAACTTTTTTTTTTTTTTTAAATCACTTTGAATTAACTTGGAACTCCCATTAAAGGAACCCTCCAGGCACCATAGCCTGTTTTAAAATAGTTTGACACTTACCTGGAGTCCGGTGGGTGCCGCCGCCACCACTTCCTTTGTTACTAGAAGCTGTGCCACAGAGCTAAGCCAGGACCACAGGTAAGTTGTTAAAGCATTCTTAAATGATTTGACTACTTACTGTGGGATAGCACATGGGAGCTCATGGCATCTTAACCACTTCAGCGGTCAATAGTGATAATGGTGCTCAGAGTATTCCTTTATTTCACACGTTCAAGTAACCCTGAGTATTTTTTCATGCAAATTATAGTATTATTTACTTAATGTTGACATAGCTGAAAAATAACGGTCTTTCTCTTCCATTCAGCCTTTCAAACCATGCCGTCCTATGACCAACAACGCAGGACGTCTTTACCACTACAGAATAACTGTATCTCCACCAACAAATTTTCTAGTAAGTATCTAAATCACTTGTCTTCCTATAAAGTTCTAATTCTGAGTGGCATTACACTTTTAGTATTAAGTCTGCTTCATGTCTATCGGATACATGTTAACGCATAAAATGATCAATTTGACCCCAATGGACATACCCTATTAAAATAAAGGTAATAGGTGTTCTTTCGTAATATAATGTTTCTGTGTTGTGAGGACTGGGTAGTTGCATTTTTTTATTTGTCTTGTCTTTTGTCACTATATTAATATTGCCTGAAGTAAAAAGTAAAAGAAGACAAATTTGGTGATCCATTCTAGTAGTCGTGGTAAAACAAAACAAAAAAAAGTCTTATTGTGTTTTTTTTTTTATTTTTTTATTTTTTTTTAAGTGCATTACACAAGATTGTATAGCAATTTAACATTGGCCTTATTAAATGACTTTTATGTTTCTGCTAAGTTTATATAGTGTGTGTGTGTGTGTGTGTGTGTGTGTGTACTAGCAAAGTATTTGTATGTGGGACAAATAAGAATATTCGCTGCAAGAGATGTTGACGCTATATAAATAACCGTATATCTCCTATATTAACTCTGTCTTTCTGTGTATTTAGCTAACCTATGTAGCTCTCTAATCTATTTATCTAGCCCCTGAGTAGAGTTGCAAAACTAAACATAATCCTGGTAGTTTAATGCACAACTAGCCTAGGTAGTGAATAAAGGGGCTGCATTCGGGATAAGTTACTAAAACGACTTAGACAAAAACATGGCCACAGTTCTGTAGGTCTGGGAAGGCAACAACTGTATTATTATTATTATTATTATTATTATTACCATTTATATAGCGCCAATAGATCCTGTGGCGCTTTACAATATTATGAGAGGGGGGATGTAACTATAAATAGGACAATTACAAGAAAACTTACAGGAATAGGTTGAAGAGGACCCTGCTCAAACGAGCTTATGTTCTATAGGAATAGACCGTTTTTATATCATCCTGTGACCCATCTATAAAATCTTGTTTGCTGTTTTGGTGAACCCCAAGGAACATACATAGCGTTTTCCCTACACATTGTTCTTAGACATCTTAAAGTGCAAGGTGCTCTCCTTCCATTTTGCCATTCATTAACGTTGCAGAAATTTGAAAACATCACTGCAATTGTAAACCATTCTAAAGACACTGTCGGTGGCCTCCCACCCAAAAAAAAAAATGGAAATCTTCTTCTTTTAATCCCTCTTTTTGACTTTCTTATTCCCTTTTGTGTTTCTTATCCCCACATTTGTGTTTCTTTACCACTTTTGTGTCTTACGACCCCCCTTTGTGCATCGCTCACA